GATCTTGATATTTTAGACTGACCGGAGGCCGGATTTCTACATGGATGACCTGACGATTGTGGCGAAGTTGCGAGTCGACAACACATATATCGGTTCAATCGCCTACCATTGGGATGATGTGGACGACACCCGTGGAAGAAGTTTCTGATGCGTATCTGGTCGACCGAGCGTTGGAGGCGGCGAAGCTCTAAGCAATAACCGAGCCAAACGTGGGCCTAGAAAACTTGGCTTCCCAGTTCTCCGACACGGCAATGGATGCTTGTAGGACTGCTGTCGGTATGACGCTATTTGTCCAGATCCTCGGAGGAACCCTACGCAGAAGCATGCAGTCTTTGAGTGGGGCACCGAACAAGTCCTTGCATTGGATATGCGTATTAAACTGTACAAGCCCATTCCCGACCAGCAGTTGGTCCAGAATGGCTGTTTTGATATGCAGCACTTCATGACCATCACTTTCCAGGCAATAGTAGCCCTGGTGGCATACCTGGATGACCTGACGATTGTGGCGAAGTTGCGAGTCGACAACACATATATCGGTTCAATCGTTTACCATTGGGATGATGTGGACGATACCCTGGACATCATGATCTCCCGGGATATCCAACTCCAGCCGAAGAAGAGTCAGATTATGAAGCTGCCAAAGGAGATAGTACACCTGTTTGGCCGGGATATCCAGGACCATGGATCCCGCATCGACCAACGACGGTTGGAGGATTTCTTGACAGCGCCGGCCCCCAAGGACAGGAAGGAACTTGTTTCCCTTCTGGCGATGCTATCCTGGTAGTCGGGCATGATCCCACAATACGCCCGCATGATGGAGCCCCTAACCCGCTTAACAGAGAAGTATGCAGGCTTTGAGTGGGGCACCGAACAAGTCCTCGCATTGGATACGGCACTTTACTATTTGGCGATGCCTTTTAAGCTGTACAAGCCCCTTCCCGACCAGCAGTTGATCCTGTATTCGGATGCTTTGAATCCTACGCTTTGTTGTGGAAGAAGTTTCTGATGCGTATCTGG